CGGTTCAACCCGGACTATAGTACACGAAATTGCTGACCACAGAAACCTATCCGAACACATAAGAAACTGAGTGAAGTTTGAAAATCCATAAATATATGCCCCTCTTGATGCATTCAACATACACTGTTTCCTCTAATTATTTTACCTGTTTCGATTGATGAGAGAAATACTTACATTAGAACAATTCCAGTCTCAAAAAGAAATCGTGTGAGTCCAAGTTGAAGATAGGAAGGCGCTGAAGGGCTACAGAACATTTTCATTTTATAATTGACACTTCAATCTGTCGACATCTACTGCCTAAAGAGATATATCCTCGCTCTCTCACAGCAGTTCCACTGCAGCTAAAACCAGAGTTAAAAAACAAAATATTTGTGTTACTTTACCAGACAGCGCTGTTTCGACCCGTTATATGTCTCATCACTGGTGTTATAAGGCTGAAGGACGAATGTATGACTGGGCTCAATTGTCCTTAAAGAATAAACCTGACTAAGTGGAGTCGATGACATTATTTCTTACAGAACCGCCATCTATGCGATCGACTGAACACTCAATTCTCGAATATCAAAGGTGGTCTATTCTAATTCCAAGCTTCGATATCGACCGCCGAACGAGACTCGTCCTTTTTGACAGAAACTTTCATGAGGTAACAGCTGCAAGGCAACTAATTAAAAAACCAGATAGTGATACAACACCAGACAGCGCTGTTTCGACACGCCGTAGGTCTCTTCAGTGATGTTAAACCGAGAGTTCTTGGTAGAAAACACAAAAGTGGTATGTTAAATTGAGTATTAAATAGTGAAACACTCCTAGATAAGCAGACAAATGATCAACATCATCTAACAATTTAAATATGTTCAGTTCATATCCATAATATTGAATATAACGTGAAATTTCAACGATTTTTATCAGTAAACAAATAGTGTCTCCTCTAAAAAGTGACAGATATAATCGACAAACTTTCGATAAAACTAAAGGCGACCACGCACGACAGTTTATATCACGTGAAGATGAACAGCGATGGAACAGAAATTACTATAAAGCAGTTATTTGATGAAATCGTGATAAATAGGAGAGAACTGAAAAACTCAGTTGAGGCTAGTGAAGCACGCGTTTTATTGAAACTTGAATTCTTGAATAATAAATTGAAAAAATTGCAGAACGAAAATACCGAGCTGAAAAATAAAGTCGAGATTTTAGACAGAGATAGCAGAAAGAAGAACTTGATAATTTTTGACCTCAATAGAAATTCTAGAGAGGTGTCTGTTGCTTTCATTTGTAGTGAAATAAAAAAGTTACTAGCAGTTGACATATCTGAATTAGACATAAGTAACATATATCTACTCGGTAAAGCTGATAACTCTCCGAATAAACTTGAATTGGTATCTCAGCTAAGAAAAAAAGAGATCCTTCAGAATTGAAGCAAACTGAAAGGCTCGAAAGTTTTCATCGCTCATGATTTACCAGAGAAACAAAGATGTGTACCTCAATCAAGCTAGAGGAAGTACCAGCGATCGGAGCTACATTAAAGGAAACAAGCTCTACGTGAATAATATAGCTTATACTGTTGAAGACGTACAAAACGAAGAAGATACAAAAACAAAACATAATAGTGCCCCTCCAACACCAAACAGTTGCCCGAATCGATCACTGGAAATAGAAATAGACGCGCAAGAACCTATAATCTGGAAACCTAGCATAAACACCGAAGAGAAACAAGCGAAAATTGGAAAAAAGGAAGAACAAAAAATATCGTCAGATTTGGATGAACTTCACAACACCCCAAAAACAGGTACAACAACAAAAACAACTAAACAAACCGCAGTGCCATTAAACAAAGAAGGAGTTAAGAGTAGACTCTGAACCAATAAGTGAATTGTAGACGTTTTTACTATTCCCTCAAATGTATTTCTTTCAATCTTGTCTACGTTTTGAACTAATGACTCTATTCCTTCGTTTCATATAGATTTCTCTTGATGAATAAATTAAGAACTAGATGAAGTTGCACACACATTCAGATTCGTATATTATTTAAATGTATTTTTCTCTGAAATATTATTGAGGTAGGCTACAATGGATCCAATATTCGAGACATTGAAATAACAAAAATAGATACTTTTACCTTGGAAACAATATCCCAAACAAATGAGGTTCTGAAAATTAACCAGCAAACACAAAATTTCAAAATGATACACAATAATATCAGAAGTATTGCAAAAAACTTGGACGAATTCAAAATTTTCATCACACAATTTGACTTCGAATTTGATTGCATTGTTCTCACAGTAACACGAAAGATTCAAGATCACAGTATATTTAACATGTCGGGGTATAAAATACTTTATAATGAGGGAAATTTGAACCAGAACGATGGCACTGTCGTATATATAAAGACAGATATTTTCAAAGATCACGAGTTAATACATTTCAGTGGTTCGTTATTATCAAAACTAGAAGTAGATTTCTTTGATAAACCCATGGTTATCCACACCTTCTACAGGTCTCCCTCCACTTGTATAGACCAGTTCAACCAGAACCTACAGAATTACTTAGATACCCAAACGATAAATAACCATAAATATAATTTCATTATTGGGGATATGAACATTGACATCCTCGACGAAAATGACAACAGCGTCAATGACTATTCAACAGTCATGGCAGAGTACGGGTACAAATCTCTCATAAATGCACCAACGCGCCTTGCAGCTTGTCTTGACCACATCTTTATTAAACCCTGTATTATACAAGATATCGAATTTTCAATCCCGATAGTTACTCTCACAGATATAACAGATCACTCAACCATTATTGTTCAAGAAGTATTCGGAAAAAACACTGAACCAAAAAATATGAGAAAAATCCATGAGACAGCTCAATGAAAAAAAGTTATTGAAAATATAAAAAACACAAATTGGCAAAACATGATCTCAGATAGTAACTTGGATACTGTAGTTGAGAGATTTGTTGCACATTTACAATATGAAGCTGAGCAATGCACCAGTTATATACCAATAAAAGGAAACAAAAAAAAGAAAGATTGGATATCTACATCTTTGGTCGAATCGGTAAATAAAAAAAATAGTATGTACCTACAACTCAAAAACAACCCAAACAATTCACGACTCAAAGCTGAGTATAAAATACTGAAACCACTGTTACGGAA